TTTTTTTTTTTTTTTTTTTTTTTTTTTTTTTTTTTTTTTTTTTTTTTTTTTTTTTTTTTTTTTTTTGTCTTTCTTCTTTTGTATGTAGATTGAGAGGCTTGAAGATACTTTGGTTCACCTTTTGAAGGTTAAAGAATATGAACTGCTGTGTTCTGAAATCCAGTCTCAGGTTTTGAATATTGAACTGAGCTGATATTTTGATATGGTATTATATCATAACAACTGTCCTAGTGGAAGCTTTGGCATATTAACATTGGTCTTGTTTTATATGTAGAAAGTCATTGAGAATCTTGGAGCAATACGTAAAAGGTGATTTGGAAGTACATCTGCCTATATAAACCAGTTTTTATGTGAATTCCTCATACTCCTAAGATTTTGACAAATAACTGTTTTCAACACTCATGAATTGATGCTATCAGAGTAGTGGAAGCCAGATCGTTGGTGTATAAAGTAGCATATCAGAAGGCAAAGCTTCAGTTGGTTTGTATAAAGCGTGATGGATATCAGGTACCTTATTTTCTGGTGATTTTAGTTTTTGGATTATGAATAACTTTTAACCTCCGTGTACACTTCCATGCAGAATAGAGCACAGTCATTGAACTCTCATTTTGAGGATTTTCAAATGTTGAAGTTGAACTATGACCGCCTCAGGAAATTTGGTTCAAAGGACAGTCAAGTTGACGATGGAAATAGTCTTTCATGCCCAATTGATTCTGAGGTCAGGCATGAGGCTTTTGAATCATAATTCCTTTCTTATGGTTGGAGATTCTATTAATTGAATCAATGCGATAGGAGTTTCAAGGTCTCACCATTAGACAGATGTCTTGGATTTGTTTTATGTTGTGTATATACTAGACTTGTAGCCTTGGTATTCTATCTCTAGTCTTCACCCTTAGTTTCATGTGCAATAATAATAATATGGTTCACACACGTAACTCTGAACTACTGCTTGAGTGTAAGGTGTGTATGTGAATTTTTCTAAGATGCTGGTCGAATATCTCTGTGTTCACAATATTGCAATATTTCAGTCAAGAGCATTTGAATAATTTGACTATTGAATAAAAAAATGGTCAATCATCCTGCTTACTTTTCTGCAAAATATGGGAGCATAATGTTGACATTTTATACTAGAGCTGTAAATTAGTTTTTCAATGTTCAGGAATTCTCTCTATGCATTTTAGTAGATCATTGAAAGAAAGATCAATTATGTTATTTTACTAGGATTATGTTCTATATGATCGTTACTAGATATTCATATGTTTTTGTTTGAACACATTTGTGTATATCTGTTCAAAATATTTGTATGGCGAATTATTTCTTGGTGAATGATACAACTAAACTTGTTTGGTGCAGGCGTCCTGTGATAGAGCCAGCATGATAAAGCACGAAATTGAATCTTTAGATGGGAAGATAAAGGGATTAGGCCAATATTTTTCAACATATTGCAACTTGAAAGGAGTAACTAGTTCAACTGACATCCTTGGATTAGTTATTGATCATCTAAGGAAGAGAAAGCTCTGCAGGTCTATTTATCAGGGTTTGCAGGTTTGTACATTCACTAATATTCTTTTTGACCTAATAACATAATTTCTTGAATATTTTTTATTTAGCTTGTTAAACATTATCTATACTTTTTCAGATGTGGAAGGTAGATGATTTTGAGAAAAAGAATGATCACTACACCATACTTCTCAACTACCTTAGTTATGCCTACCAAAGGTTGGGATTATTTCTATTTTTTCTGTTTATTTATATTTCGTTTATTAGCATTGATGATGAATAATATCAGTTAAACTCTGCGTTTGTTCATTGGGATTCTAACTTATAGGATTACAATTAAAGCCAATCCACTCCCGGGTGTAACCATCTTAAATACATTGAATGATACTCATATTGGGAAGGTACAAGATGAAACCTTTTATTTTCTCTACAGCCTTTTACTTGTTCCCTTCAATTCTGTTAATACTTTATTTTTCTCTTCCAGAACGTTCCAGAAATGAATGCGTGCTGTGCATTTGCTTTTGTGATAAACGTTGAGAAGACACGGAAGTATAATGCTTCCTGGCATTTGCCCAAAGAAACTCAAGTGAGTTAATTCATCCTGCTTGGCTAGTCTATCTCTTCATGATTCAATCCAACCTTTTTCGCTTTCATTTCTCGTGTATCCTTGGTCACTGTTTCTATTTCAAGTATTTTCTGGTCCTATCAGTTTCACTAAAATAACGCATCTTCTTTCAATTTGAAAAACAAAGGTGAATGTCCCTTCGGTAGTGTTTATCCGGATTACATATATGCTAGAATCTTTGCTTCGTTAACACCTTAACGGTTTAGATTGCGAACTCCATATTCATTAATGTTGATGCACTATGCTGATTCCTTCAATATTTTAATTCTCTCTCTATTTACTATACAGATGATGAGTTCTTTTCTACACAACCTGCTGGATGTGATTGCGGAAATGCAGATAGCCCAGATAGAGATTTCAAATCTCATCCTAATAAGATTTTACTCACCCTCAGGTCATGAATATTTTTGTTACGACCATGCATGATGTTGGTTCTATTGAGAAAATGAAATCAATTGAGAAAAATACTTCGGAAGCAATAATCAAAATCTCAGTGTTTGTTAAACAAAGAGAAAAAAAATGGAAAATGAGAAAGTAGAATCCAATAGATAAATAAATTTCTAATTGAGGTAGAAAAAAATAGTGATACAAAATGTGGTACAAAACTTGGTGATAAAAATGAATGGCACTAAGAATGTGATACAAACTTTACGTGAAAGTTCACTCTTATATAGTTACAAAAATGAGCCTAATTACTATCACTATCTTACATTTTTAACATTAAAAAATAGAAATTCATGAAACATAAAAGAAAACTTAAAAAGAACAAACAACTGAAATGTTAGATACAACATCAACTTAAGACATTAATCTGAAAATTAAATCTAACAATAAAGTAAGAAACTTAAAAAAACACAAAACTGGAATTAATCTCAACAGGAGCATACATGACCCACATGCATGATTTTCCCTAATTAGTGTTTTTTCCAACGATGTTTCATTTTAAAACACTATTCCAGACAACCTTTCCTGAAATAGTTTGTGTGTATTTGAAACAGTTGCAGCTCCATGCTACATTTTTATGCATGCTATTGGTGTTTCCTGCTTATTTTTGCTCCTCAAATTGATTTCGACTTCATGAATAAGCTATGGAGGTTTCATGACCAGAAATTGTTTTCCCTTCTGAGAACTTGAAAATCTAATTTCCTTTTTGCTGTACTAATAATTTTGCAGACGAGAAGCTCGATTTGCAGCTTAGTTTCATCAACTTCCAAAGTGGCAGGAAGGTAAATCTTGTTCTGGACGTATCAGATTTGAGTCGGTAAGCTACAGTTTTATCTTTCTATATTTTCTACCGTTGCTCGTCTGAATTGCCTAATTATTTGACCTAATATTTTACCGGCAAATTCTATTACTTATTACTGATTCTTGATCATGAATTTGATATATATAGGAATATTAAAATAATCGTATTGATTAATTACTTGGTCTCTTGGCAGAGGGATTTATCCTTCTGAAGTTCTTCCGCATAAGGTCGAATCTCCTGCTTCGAATAAATACACACTCTCAGAGTCCATGTTAAATGACATTAGAGCTGCAGTTGGGAATTTAGATTCTGGATATTCGAGGATTTTAAGAGTTTGTAGATGTGTTTCGGAAGTCGTACAAAGGTCATCAAGCTGATGCCGACAATAGCATTTTCTCTGTATTTCTGTATGTTGCTGGCAGTTCCAGCATTATTGTAAAATCTAGATTTATTCAGCTGTCAGGTATTTTCCCCTTGAAAATACACGGAGCAATGAGAATTTTAGCTAACCCCTTGGATGAGTTACTTCGTGATTTATGTCTGTAGTTGAAGCTTGCTATTTGACCAAATACATCTAAACTTTGAGCAAGATTAATGATGATAAAGGCTGAGATTAATCAATCTTGGTTTCATGACTCTGATGTCTCATCTAATAGTTGAAGTCCATCATGGATGATGGAAAAGTGACTTGCGAGGATCAAGTTGGAGCTACACCACGAGGTTAAAGCTATCAGTGCACAGGCTTCATCAAGCATCATCATTCAAAATTAGGTAATATCTCACGGGCTATTAAAATGTAATATAATGATAGAGTGGATTTGTCTGTTAGGTCATGGAGTTTAGCAACTGAGTCAAAATCCTAGGATCTTATTGCTTGATTTCTTTGTTGTTATTTGGATTTTAGCATGACCCAAATGATCCAATGCATTATTTATCTGATCATAATATAAAAAAAACCTCAAGTTGGATATGCCTTTTATTTTCTTGCCAAGCCACCCTACTTTGTATTACATGAGGTCCAAATTGGGCATTATTACATAAACATAAATTTGTTAAACAGGGTAGGATCTGCTTGGATCAGCATCTTTGTTTTTAATATTATAGTGTTTCTCATGCCATTGATTTAAAGGAAGCCAGCAAGGCTTGGTCCAGTTTTTATTGTAGCTTCACGTGGCATTATGAGGGTGCAAGTGATAATTATTAGGATGGGAAATGGAGGAGAGGCAGGACTTGTGTGTTGGTGACCTCATGTGTTGGGCTTGGATGTCATTTTTCAAATTTATTAGTTGGAATTTTAGAGAAAAATGAAATATATTCTTCTATATTTCTATTTTACTTGTACAATATTGTAGGAAAGATGGGTTTGAAGAACAAAAAGAGGTGAAATCACTTTGCTCGTATAACATATTCTAGGTAATTCTACGTAGTTTTTTTTTTTTTTTTTTTTTTTTTTTTTTTTAATGGTTTAGTCTCTATTCTTTAAAAATGTATTAGGTCTTAAAAAAAATGTTTCTTTTAATTTCAATATTGTTTTAATTAAGTCGTACAAATATATTACCTTGGGGAGGTATTTTGTTTATAGGTTGTTTTTTAAATTTAATTTTAACTCTTTATGGTTTTTATGGTTGTTATATATATAGATATATATATTTTATGAGGATTAAATGGTTAGAAATAAAAGTACAAGGACCAAAATAATTAAAACTTGTTTGTTAGGGAGAGATTTTTACACGCTTATAAATAATGTTTTGTTCTCCTTCCCAACTTTACAATCCACCTTTCTTTGGGGCCCGTCCTTGCTGATACACCGTCTTGTGTCCACCCCTCTCCAAAAAAATAAAATCTATTTTTTGTGGAAAGGTAAATTGAGTTTGGGCTAAGATAGGGAAGAAGATTTCTTGTGATATTCAAATTCCGAAGCCACGTTTTCATGGCAAATGGGTATTATGTCATGGCCAACGTTTTCCTTGTGGACAACAAAATCCAGAATGCCTTAAGCTGAGGACTAGCGAACTGACAAGGACCTAATATTTTGATGCAATGTTCTCTTATGTCAAATTGTTTAGAGCCTCCAATAGTATTATAACAAAGACTAGTAGGATTTTGTCTGTTTAAAAGTTTCTTATGAACTTAAATGATTGAAAGACATAAATAGTGAAAATCTCATTCAATTTATACGTTGGAAATGAAAAACTTTTATGATCATAATAGCATAGAATCTCTATTGTATTATTATCACTAACATTCCATCACATCACTAAGCTTTGATGTTGATTGAAATACAGGCTGATTATGAAGTTTTATTATTAGTATTTATGATGTTCTTGTTGAAGTTTCTACTGTACAATAACATTTTTACTGTTCATTGCCTGTTTTTTCATGTTATTGTTTAAATGTGGATGGATTGTTCACCTAATTCTTTGATTAATGGAAATGTTGATGAGGAGAGTATCGTTGGATGCAGGGATACAATAATGTTGAAGAGAGAAAGGTGGGAGGAGGACAAAGCACTTTTGAACACTTTTTGGTTGGTGGGGTTGAATGCTTCATTGTTGAATCTTTGCTGTCTTTTCTTCATTTGCCAAGTAGGTCTTCGATTCCCCTTATTTACAAATCTCTCTCTCTCTCTCTCTCTCTCTCTCTCTTTGAGCTTTGAAGATAGCATCTAAGAAACAGGGTTTTGAAGAAGATCTATTGCAATCGACAATTCGTCTCTCAGTTGTCCTTTTTTTTCTGTACAATTTGTTCTCTTCCTTCCAAACATGATCTGAGATGAGTAGCTTTTCAAGTGGGATTTACTGTTTGTTGTAAAGTTTGAATAATCTTTTCAAATCTATGTGATGGATAGGCATAAAGATGTGACATCTTATTTATCTTATTCATTGGAAGAACTTGGTTTGTGGTGGCTACTTGATTCTTAAGTGGTTAAAATCATATTTGTTGGGTACATAATCGTCCCGAACATATCTTTAGTCCTTCAAAATCAACTTTGATGGTATAAAAATTGTGTTAGCTAATGTTAAATTAACTTTGAATAATTGAAGGTAGGTTCGGGAGTTATGTTGAATACCTCCCAAGTGATTTTAACCATTTTAAAGCTAAACTCAAGAGTGTCTTTTTTCTTTTTATAATGTTGAACACTATTTAGGTTTGGTGCTTTTCACTTGGTTTTGTGGTTAGTTTGGAGAGTTTTTGTAGTTAAGAATTAGGACGTTGTGGTGATTCGACTGATTTCATTGAGCTTTTATCGGTTAGTTTTTGTGGGTATTTTGGTAATTTAGTTTTGAGATATTATAACTTATTACAATTGACGAGTATTTATAGCCTATCACAAAAAGGAGCAAGTATTTATAACGTAATAAAATACAAAGTTTCCAGTACCTAACTAACTTACCTTTCATTCAACGGTTGATAATCTTACTATGATGGGTTTTGAGAGATATTTCATGTAATTACACGTACTTACGATAATAAAGATAAATAAATAGCGGGTTATTAGAAGAGTACTTTTTCAAGTGATTAAAAAGTTTAAGATTTGAATTAATTAATAGTTGAAAATTGGGTGAGATTTAAAATATGCATTTTTATTTACCCAAAAAAGCACCCTTTATGATGCATATATGATTAAGTGGGTGCCTAATTGCACCAAATGGGAAACCAAAAGCTTAGTTTACATTTAAATGTATTGGAAAGGCATACACACAAACCCTAGCGTCTACTATCAAACAATCTCTCATATTCCATTTTCTCTATGCAATAATAATAATAATAATCATAATTTTTAAAAAATTCCTTAAAATTATGTACGATCCATACTACATCTGATCAGCGGCTCATCCTACTTCCTCTAGATTCTTGATAGCCCATCTTATCTCAGTAGAATTTTCAGTTTTTCAATCAGCGGCTCATCCTATTTCCTCTAGATTCTTGATAGCCCATCTTATCTCAGTAGAATTTTCAGTTTTTCAGTGGCATGTTTCGATCCTCTTCCTCATTACTTAGAAAAAGTGAGCCATGATTCAAATACAAAATACTATCATTTACATCTGGACAATTACACATCCAAGATGCTATCATTTCCGCCCGGATAATTACACATCCAACCTTAAAAGTAACAACCCAATTAGAAGAGCAGAGTTTTACCAACTAAGCTACATCTCCTTAACGTAAATCCTTATTCTATTCTTTTCCTTTAACGTAGTTAGGCCATTTTGAACTTGAACTAGAGACCTCGCATCATAAAGTAAATCATCGCACCTACTATCTAACCAATAAGAAGAGAAACAACTTATTCCTTTTCAGGAGCATTCATATACATATATATATATATATATATATATTAATTTATTATTCACAAGGGTGATTTTACAATTTTGTTAGTCAATATACAATAATTCAAAAAAAATTTAGGAACCCCTAAGATATTTATAAAAAAAAAAAAAAAAAATCAATAAATAGATATTTTAATTTTGAAAGATACACTCAACTCAAGCTAATATAATATCTGTAATAAATATATATATATATATATATATTGTAAGAAAAATAAAAATTATTTAAGAATATTAAAAAGTGCTCTTTTTGGCTTTTGGCAATTAAATACAAAGCAGAGTCAGAAAAATGGAAAAATGGGAATTGGCAAAGCACATGCCAAGTAGGTTTTGATGCATTCAATTGGAGGGACCATTAACACAGACTGAGGGCCTAACCTCCTTCATAATCTCTTCCCCTTTTTTTTTTTTTCTTTTTTTTTTTTTTATACCTTTAACAAAATATATATATATAATTTATTAATTTATTCTTAGATTTTCTCCCTTTTCCTTTCTGATCTATTTTTTTCATTATCACCTAAAAAAAGAAACCTTTTTTTTTAAATTGGGTTATGTCAATTTTCTCCTTCCCATTCATCCCATATCCTTCTCCTCTTCCTCTATCCATCTAAAAGGAGGGATTGAAAAGAAAGAAAAAAAAAAACCCAGAATCAGATTAAGAGGGATTCTCTAAACTTTCCAGCTTTTTTGTGTTTCTCTTCCTGCAATCATTGATTTTCTTATAATCTGAAGCCCCCTTTTACCGATCTCTGTTTCTGTTTTTCTAGGTACGGTGATTTCTTTGTTTCAACTCTTATACTTCTCCTCAGTTCTTCCTCTCTTTCTGTTTTTGTGTGTTGTTCATCTTCTTAGCAACTGATTTCTGTACAAATATTGCCGGATTTTGTCTCTTGGGACGTTTTATTTTGTGTTTCTTGTCTGTTTGCATGAGCTTGTTATTGCTGTGTTCTTCTTTGTTCTTCTTGTTTTGATTCTTTGGGCTACTGGGTTGCTTTTGATTGTCTGAATTTGTGTGTTTTTGCTGCTGGTTTTCTCTTTTTCTGACTGCTAATTATGATTTGTAAAGGAGGTAGACGTTTTGATTCATTCAGTCTTTGAAATCATTGTAGGAAGCTAACTCTATTTATTGTGGCCATGGTACTCATGGATCAGAATTGAATGTTCACGAAAGTTTTCTTCTCTTCCCCCTTTATTCTCATGCCGAATATGAATTTGTGTTAATTTCTTGGAGCTGGGGCCATGGTAGTGCCCATATCTTTCCACATAAACGCAGGTTCTGGTTTCACCTACACATACTCAGTTTTCCAATTATGTGTTCTTCATGAATAGTAGCTAAGTTGTTTGCCTTTCTTCGATGGTTTCTTTTGATATCATTCTGAATTTTAGCTGATATCATATTTGGTTTTGTTGAGAAGGAAATCATGGGGATGGTATACATTTTCATTTGTAGGTTGGATACTCAATCTTTGTTTAGAGCTAACAGATATCTTAGAACAGCCTTTTTTTGGCATTTGTGAAGATTTGGGGAGTGATAATTTGAATTAATGTGATTTTGATCTATTGCAGAAGCTGCATTTCGCTTGTTCCTATAGTTGATTCTAGTTTTGGCTGTCTGGAAGGATTTCTAAGGGAACGGTTTGAAGATCTGATTGTAGTATGGGTTATATGTGTGATTTCTGTGGGCAACAAAGGTCGTTTGTTTACTGTCGATCCGATGCTGCAGCTTTGTGCTTATCTTGTGACCGTAATGTTCATTCTGCTAACGCCTTGTCGAGGCGACACTCAAGAACGTTGTTATGTGATCGCTGTCATTCCCAAGCAGCATTTGTTAGATGTCCTGAAGAGAATATTTCACTTTGTCAAAACTGTGATTACATGGGGCATAGCTCATCCGCCTCCATTTCATCTCGAAAGAGGCAACCAATCAATTGTTACTCGGACTGCCCGACAGCTGCGGAGCTCTCATCTATCTGGTCATTTGTTCTGGATCTCCCTTCTGGAAGCGATGCTTGCGAGCAAGAATTAGGATTGATGAGCATTGCCGAAAATAGTGCAGTAAACGCCTGGGGCCCTGATGATAAAGCTGGTCAAAATGTATCTGGTGTCGATGAAACCAACGAATTCCCAAGTGGGGATAAATCGATTTGGTTCGCGTCCTCTTCGGCGCCTCAATATTTATCCAAGCCTCACATTATGGACCAACCAATTACTACAGGTGCAACTTCACCCAAGGTATATAACCGTAAATCGTATTCTTCATGAGTAAATTAAAACCAAAATGGTTGCATATGTAGCTTGTAATCATTCATTTATGTTGTTTCATTCAATCTAAATCCTTCCCATATGGTGTCGTTCACTCGAAATGCCTGTTGATAGACCGAACTAGTAGATGCAGTACAACAAGTTCATAGACTAGACTACGTTCAAAGGACAAATGAACAAGGTCATAGACTCATACTTTTATGTCGTAATCTTAATGGCCATCGATCTACGTGCGTACACCGTATGATTCTCTTTTTTAAAATCGTTAGTAGGTTGTAAGAACAGAATGTATAAGCAAACTTTCCATTCGACAGGTCATAGGCTAAAGGTTGTAAGACTCGTACGTTAATGTCTTAATCTTTCACAGTTTTTTCATAAGAATCTTTGCCAATTTCATGCTATTAATATGCAGTTGCACTATCCTGGAACAAAAGGTCCTGAATTCGACATTGACGATGACTTCTACGAGAGTTTGAATATGGATGAAGATTTGAATATTGAAAATTATGAAGAACTATTTGGTGTATCCCTCAGTTATTCTGAAGAATTGTTAGAGAATGGTGGTATTGATAGCTTGTTTAGGATCAAAAGCTTAGCTGCTGCTAAATCTGGTTGCGCTGGTGCGACTGATGCAAAGGTACCTCAATCTTCTTTAATTGCTTATTGAAAATTAGTCTCTCATTGCTTCGTGTTATTTTTCACCTAATTTTGTGACGATCAGCATGCCCTTGTCCTCTTTGGCTCTTTTGAGCTTCCCTTCAAGGTTTTTAAAACCTATCAGCTAGGGAGAGGTTTTTACACCCTTGTAAAGAATGTTTTGTTCTCCTCCCCAACCGATGTGGGATCTCACAGTCCACCCACCTTCGGGACCCAGCGTCCTCGCTGGCACTCATTCCCTTCTTCAATCGATGTGGGACCCCCTAATCCACCCCCTTTCGAGGCCCAGCACTGCCAGCCTCGTGTCCACTCTCCTTCAAGGCTCAGCTTCTTCACTGGCACATCGCCCGGTATCTGACCCTTATACCATTTGTAACAGCTCAAGCCCACTGTTAATAGACAGTGTCATCTTTGGGCTTTCCCTTTCTGGCTTCCCCTCGAGGTTTTTAAAACGCATCTGCTATGGAAAGGTTTCCACACCCTTATAAAGAACGCTTCGTTCTCCTCTCCCAACCGATGTGGGATCTCACAAGCACCTTCTTAGTTGTTTCTCAAAGATAAAATTGCAAGGATTTGATATTTACACACCACTTGATGAGTACCAAGTTATAACAAGCATTAGGATGCTAGTAATTGCACTTGAGTATACTTAACAATTTCAAGCTCTGAGTTAAGTATTAATACATGCTTGCTCAACATAAATGTAAATTCAGGGGCCGTCAGGTTTAGCTAATAATATGATGCAGCCTGCAAGCAGTAATGCAGCATCAGCAGACTCTGTGATGAGTGCGAAGACTGACCCGATTCTTTGTTATAACAATAAGCAAGAGCATTCCAGTCGATCGTTTTCTGGCATGACTGGAGAGAGTAGCGCAGGCGAACATCAAGACTGTGGAGCTTCATCAATGCTTCTGATGGGAGAGCCTCCATGGTGTTCTATGGCTACAGAGAGTTCCTTCCAATCATCTAATCGTAGCGATGCTGTAATGCGCTACAAGGAAAAGAAGAAAGCTCGAAAGTGAGTATGCGGGTTTTTCTCTACCTCTTTCTGCAAGTTTTCAATTTTTTTTTTGCTTCTTGACTATGTTAGCACTTGTTGCAATTGAAATTCTGGAATATTACCGTCACACGACATAAATCACCATAAAAACGCTAATGAACTGTCTTGAATGCTGTTAAAAGATGCTGCAAATAACTCTGATTTTGTATTTTACAAAGCTTTTGCATTCTCAATTGTTTGATCCTATTATAGGTTTGAAAAGAAGGTGAGGTATGCCTCTCGCAAAGTGCGGGCCGATACTCGAAGACGGGTCAAGGGGCGCTTTGTTAAAGCTGGAGAAGCTTATGACTATGATCCGATGAGTCAAACCAGAAGCTACTGAAAGAACATCAACTTTCGGAGATCACACGAAAAAAAAAAAAAGATTTATGGCTGAAGGGTCCGACATTGTACTCTAATCAATGGATAAATATCTCGATATCCCGGAGTCTGACAGGAAGTATAATTGTATACAAAGGAACCTGAGTTTTCATCAGGTATATGTACAAAAAGCCAGGTCTAATAGCTCTATCGATACAACTCGAAGGGCAAAAATTCTGTATCCATACCACGTAAAACGAACAAAGGATTGCGAAAATTGGCCTCCAAGACGATGTACATTTCCGGGCTGTAAGAAACGGGCATAGTTTTCTTGGTTAACAATCCAGCTTCAGCTCCTTTGATATGTACTTAAAATTTGAAAAAAGACTATACTGATCATTGGCTGGCAAGGGCTGTGTTCACAACATGGAAGGCACGTCTTCCTCCTTGCTTTTGGTTCTTTGACAAACATGGCTGCACCAAATTCACAGTTTCCAGGTAATCTTGATTCCCTTTTTAACTGACTTGTAAATTTGATCATCTGTTCATTTGATGAGGTTGAAATATGCAGCCAGAACGATTATATTTGGGACAATATTGAACTGTTGTAACTTCAAATTTCGTTACCCGAACACGACGATGAATGTATATGTTGCAAAGATTGGTACTACTAGTGTATTTAACCAATTTTGTAGTCCCATTACTTCACAGAGATATTGATAGTTTTTATTGTTCTGTCAAGAGCTCGTAAGTTCTTCGTAAAGGATGTGGCGATGGTGTTAGAAAGTCCAAAAGGCATATAAACCAAATCAAGCGTCTATCGTTTTCATGTTTGGCTTAGTTTACTACGTTTGCTATATGCATGTTTTCGATATGGAATTCACTTCTTTTTTTGGGAGACATTGAATAAAAGATGAGTTGAGAGAGTATAACGTAGCCTAAATCTCTTGCATTCGTTCCTTCTAAATCTTATACTATTTTGAAAGCAACCGCTCGAATGAAGCGGACACCTAACAACCTCTCGTACTATCATAGTCACTTTACAAACACAATGTGTTGAAGGTTAAGAACACATTTCTTTTGAGTTTTGACTATTTGTGCAAAACATACAAATCAAGACCAAAATGTTCATCTTTCAAGCAATTTGCCCGAAAATCCTACAATATCGACGATATGCACAGTTGAATCGACAACATATTGACATACAGCTGAAGCATGCTTGGTGAATTTGGCACCAACATCATGAGGGGAATGGATTGAGTTACTCCTTTGCAGTTCGAAACTAACAAGCCAAAATAGAACCCAGCAGTGTCAACATCTATCAATCCTCATCTGAGCTACTGTCTTCTAACATCCTCCCATTGTCCTTGGCCATCATTGAAGTATAATTGATCACGACGATATGAAAATCGAAACCGACAGACATTAGGTTTTGAAAGTAAATCTTATCTTACTGGCATCTTATCCCAATCTTTTAACTTGGAATTGGTCAGCATATAATTATCACGCAATGGAGCCCAAGCGGGTCCTTCGGCGTCCACTGCACCACCTGATGTGTCTAACTGTTCAACATAAAGATGGCCATTTGAGTTTCTTTATGGACATGAAGAAACAGATAATATATGATCGTGACTTGACCTGAGCTTCACTCTCTTAACATACACCCCATCCCCTAGAGCTGTCCATTTTCCCCGCCCCTACACGGACTAGTCCCCATTCCCCATCCCAACCTTTTTTCATAAAAATTTATAGGAAATTTTGTGAGGACATGAAAACCATCCCGACCCCTGCTCGACCCCATGGACATCCCCCTACCAGTCCCCATTCCACTGCACATAAACACGTTAATGAAGATGAGGATGCTAATGAAAAAAGCCACAAGTCGGTACGCCTCCTCAGGTATTCGTCGAAAGTATCATTGCTTGTAAGAGAATTAATAAAGAACTTACCAACAATTGGTTAAAAGCTGCAATAGATTTATCAAATTCTATAGCAGAAAATAACCAACCTTTGCATTACTGTTTGTTGCTGACAAAATTGTCTTGCCCAACTCAGAAAAGAAAGCTTCTGTCCTGCGTTTATTTATTGCTGGCAGTATAAAACAAATAAAGTACTCGTATGAGACAGGATAGAACGAAAAAGTTAGGATATCGTTCACCTTCAATATTGAGTAGCTACTCACATAATCACAAGTCAAGAACGGAAGAATAAGCTGTCTTAATATGCAAACAAAAGAGGGTCTAACAGGGTTCGCTAAACATTAGTAGTCCTATATAAGCCACAGGGGAAAGCATTAGTCAACTAGAAGTATGCACGAGAGACTAATAGGTCGATAAATTCAAGAGACATGCCTTTTAAATCACTGGCTACTTCAACCACACATATTCCCAAACAAAGTCAGCAAATTAGTAAAGTTGCCAATGATTCGTTATTTAGAAATTTAACATGTGAGATCCCACATCGGTTGCAAAGGGGAACGAACATTCCTTATAAGGACGTGAAAACCTCTTCCTACTAAACACGTTTTAAAACCTTGAGAGGAAGCTCGAAAAGGAAAGCCCAAAGAAGACAATATCTGCTAACGGTGGGCTTGGGCTATTACATAGCATGTAGTCAGACTAAACAACATGGTTGAAAGCAGAAACACAAAACAGAATATAAGGTGGCATACATCATAGTAATAGGAAAGTTAACCTACATAATTGAATATAATGCAACATGCAGAAGCACCAAAATTAATTGAATGCTAATTTAGGGACAGCATATTCACAAGGCAAGATAAAAGAAAGTGAAATTATTAACTTCTGAGATCAAAGTTACGTAAAAGGCCTAATACCTTTAACATCTTTAGCTCTCGAAGGATTCAAACTTTTCTGAGCATGTTGTGCCTTATTGACCTGTATCATATTCAAAATAATGGAATTCAGCGATGAATGCAACATAGATGAGGATATGACAAAAAAGTTGTCTGATATCAAAATTTGGCTACTTACAGCGTTAAACAACTTGACAACCGACAATCGACAAGCAGCAATACACATGGAGATTACTGTGTTAGTATGATGAGAGATGTAGTAATCACCGTTGAAATAAAATAGAAAACCTTTCCCAACTCAAAGTAAAATCGAACTAGGCTACCTCCTTTAGTAGCAACGCCAATAAGAAACTTTTCATTAGAATCCAAGCAAGTAGCAGGTTTCACATGGCCTTTTCCTCCCACCTACCATATTCAAACATTTGATGTGAGATCCCACGTCGATTGGAGAAGAAAACATAGCTTGAAAGGGAAACGCGTTTTAAAAACCTTGAGGATAAGCCCGAAAGGGAAAGCCCAAAGAGGACAATATCTGCTAGCGGCAGGCTTGGGCCATTACAAATGGTATCAGAGTTAGACACCGAGCGATGTGCCAACGAGGAGGTTGAACCTAGATGGGGGTGGACACGAGGCGGTGTGTCAACAAAGATGCTGGCTTCAAAGGAGGTGGATTGGGGGGTCCTACATCGATTGAAGAAGGGAACGAAGGCCAGCAAGGACGTTGGACCCCGAAGGGGGTGGATTGTGAGATCCCACCTTTGCAATAAACAAATTCTAAGCAAAAGCTAAATTATAAACAAGCAAAATCTTTTATTTAAAAGGAAATACCATTTGTTTCTCTTTCTTGGCCTCTCCTTTAACTTTCCTCTCAGCTTCCTCTTCTGCAAGCTTTTCAGCAACAAGCTTCTTGTTTGCTGATAATATAGGACCCTGCAACACAAACATGGCACAAATACTTTTCTTATTACTTCAACTAATGAAAATAATTCCGACCCATTTAAGATATAAAGTACCAGAGTTTCATCAGATATGCTCTTCTTGAGGATACTCCTTAATGCAGCCCGGAATGCTCTACAACCTTCTGTAAACTTAGTTATACCTGGTTGAATATCACCATTTTCATCGTCTTCGGATAGCTCGGCATCTGCATTGACATCCTTCCCTTCCTCTTCACCCTCAGAAAACTCTTCATCTCCAATCTCCTCATGACTGAGCATTGAAGTTTTGGTCTCGTCTCCAATCACCGGAGTTTTCTCATCATCATCGTCCTCATCTAAATTATAATCACGCCCGCTTTTGGAAGAGTTTCTTCATCTTCCTATCAACCTTAACTTTGTTCCCACTTCCACCCATCATCCTCGGTCTTTTCTTGTTCCTGGAACCCATCTTTTTCCTTCTCTTCGCACTCTCACCAATTCTACTGCATTCCAGTCGTCAACCATGATACTGATTCAAATGCACAGCTTATCCCAAACAAAAGTTTCAACAATCTTAACCCCCGTTTAGAACCCCAGAATTTTGATGGATTTTAAAATCAGTCTATTTGGATTCCAAAAAAAATGAAATCAACGGTTTAAAAAATAGTTTTAAAAAAAAATTACATTGAGCAACAAAAGCTACCCTATGCCAGTTCATATGCATCTATAGTCTCTGTTATACTCAAGAAGACTCAATGACATTCAATCACACTCGAACTCAATGTTAACTTTCTATTTTGTTTGTCCATTATTGGTTTTTTTTATTGATAACAATAATTTCAATCATTTTTTTTTTTAGAAACCCAAACTATATGTGAGTTTCTCCTTTGCTATGTTCAAGTTCTTACACATTTTATCCTTTCTATCTAATGATTCAGATAACGACATGTTTTTATTTTCCTTCGTATTCAATCTGTTTTTATTTTCCTCTAATTTGCAACATATTCGTTCTTAGTTTTCTTCTCCATCGGTGAAGAGAACATACCAACATAGCCCAACGTAGCAACATATAAAAATAAATAAAACCTTGGGGATCTGAAAATGCGCAGCGGCGGCGCAGGTAAGGGGCTAAACCACTGTGTTTCTCAGAAGAAGAAAAACAGATATAATTAACTCTGATTGCTCGAAGCGGCTAGAGAGTGTGAGACGGAGTAGGCAACGACGATTTCGTCGGAATGCTGCGGCAGCTGACAGTGCAGCGTTCGGCGGCAGCTGCTGATACGGCGTCGGACAGAAACATCGTGCGGAGTTCGTCGACGGAGTAGGGTGCAGTAATGGACGGTGAGCGTGGCTGAACGTGAAATAGGGTTTACGAAGAAGAAAAGAAGGTGGTTTTAAAAAAAATTTAAATAGAAAATAATACTTTTTATTTTTAAATTTTAAAAAAAATATGCATGTGGATAAGGTTTTTTATATATATATAAAAAAATAAAAATCGATTTAATTATTGATTAAATTAATAAAAATATATTAACTTTGTACTTATTCTCACAAAAAAAAATTAACTTTTAAAATTATGTAAAAAATACATTTAAATTTTTAAAAATTTAAATTTAGAATGAAAATAAAAAATATCAGTAATTTAAATTTACTTATAATTTATGTCCCATATTTGTCAATAGTTTACATTTCCGTCCTATATTTATAATTCTTATTTTTATGAATTACTAAATTATTGTCTATAAATGTGTAATTTTTATAATTAAGTTATCCTCAACTTTTGCAATATTGAATTTATTAAATTTATTTGTTTTGATTGAATCATGTACGCTCACATATATATATATAATCAACCATGTAACTTGGTATTAAGATACTTTATTAATAATAATATAATTCCTGCAAAAATTAAGAAAATAATAATAAAGTGTTTGGGCTGGACCTCTCTCACTTTTAGTGGGCCTTCCAAGCCCAAACTCGTTCTCAATATGGGCTGGATCTGCCTCTTTCTAATGGGCTATTGAAAGCCCTCAAAGAAGGGCCCAATTGATTTCCATGAGACTGCCACTATATATATATATATTTTATTATTTTATTTTATTCTTATTTGTTTTTTTAATGAATTCAATGGGTCTTAAAGTAATAATGATAATATATCAATTATCATTTAAGCAATTATTAAATTAAAAATAATAATAATTCAATTAATAATATGTGGAGGTGAGAACCTTCTAACCTTTTTGGTCACGGGTTATGTCCTATATTCGTAAATATAATTCAACGGGTTAAAATGAAAATGTCGGAGTCTTCAACTCGATCACGTATTTAAAAAAAAATTAATAATTAAATTACGTGAAAAAAAAAAAAAAAAAAAAAAAAAAAAAAAAAAAAAAAAAAAAAAAAAAAAAAAAA